GACGCGACATTATAACGCCGACTCTTGGTAACTTTGATCGAGCGGCCGCCATTTTGGTCCGAACTTCTCTTTCCCGTTTTATCGATAACGGATGAAGATTTCGAATAAACTGTAACTTTTATTAAAAGAACCAAAATCTTCTTGTTTTCTTTATCGAACGATTTTTGTTTTTTCTTTTTTAATTTTTTGTTTATTGTTGTTGTTGTTGTTTTTTTTTTCTAACATTTATGTCATTAAAAACTCTCGAAATATCAAGTAGTTACTTTTAAGAGCGAAAACTTTTCTCTACGTCGCCGTACTTGTTTCAGTTCTTCATGAGGGTTTCCACGTATTATGCAACAACCGCGAGAAGTGCATCCCAAGAGTCGGTCAAATATATCGGGGTCAAACACTTTCACTGAACATTTAGTGATATCTTTGATACTTAAAAATGTAATAATTTCCATCATCGTCGAGTGCCAAGATCGTTTTCGAGCGAGTAATTGTTATTTGCCGAATTAAATATGGCGAATAACTCGCGTTCTTCTTGCCACTGACAAATTATTGTTCTACATCAATTTCGTTTACAATTTTTCTCACTATACTCGAAATCCACTCGTAATCGTAAAATAAATTAATATCATAGAAGAAAGTATTTCTTCACGAACTTATCATTCTTTTATCCCTCTTCTCCATAAGGGATTAAGAAAATAAAAAAGAAAGGTCTCAGAGATAATAATCATTGCGGAAAACATATAGAAAAAAGGGTATAATCGATTGTAAAGAAATTTGACAATCCCGGTAATAATATCTTTCCTCCCGGCCGGCCACCTTGACCCTACGTCGAGATGACAGAACTCGAAGAGGACGACGACAGCGGTGGCAACGATGGCAGCGGTGGTGGTGGCGGCGGCAACGGCGGCGGCGAGAGGGTGAAAGAGAAATAACGAAGGAGATGTAGAAGAAAAAGAAGAAGATGAGGAGGAGGTGGAAAAGGCGAGGGCGAAGCAGTAGGAGGAGGAGGAGGAGGAGGAAGGTGGATAGAAGTGGAAGGAGATGGAGAAGGAGGAGAAGGACGAGCGCACACTCTCGAACGTTTGTTCGTTCGTTCGTTGGTTCGTTGGTTGGTTCGTTGGTTGGCTGGTTCGTTCGTTCGTTCGCGAAGTAGGACGCCGCTGCAAGGTCCCCTGGCAAGCGCTTAACCTAGCCCAAACTAGCAACGGACACAACGAAGACGCGGGTGCGCTAGTGTGCGTCATTAGCCTCCTTCCTCCCTCGCTAAACGTATGAACGTCGTCTTCGTCGTCTCTTCAGCTTGGACGTCTTCCTTCGACATTAGTCTCTTGTTATACGCGCGCAAATCGTGGCAACCCTGCTTGCTTGCTTGCTTGATTATTCTAAATCCTCCGAGTTCTTTCTACTCGATGCCGGTAATAATAATAAGAGTTTAAAAGCAACAACAATGATAAAAACGTGAGAGGACAGCGATAAGTCACGGTAGGAGAGTTACGTGTAAATAAGTGTTAACTTCTTATACTTTCTTTCGGAACGTGTCTCTTTGAAAACGAAAATAAAGAAGAAGAAGAAGAAGACGACGAAGACGAAAAAAAAGAAGAAGAAAAAGAAATAGAAGAAGAAGATAAGGCGTCGGCGCACCTTGGCGCGTTTTCACGACAGTGGCGCTGCCTAGAGGGAAGCTCGCGTGTCCGCGACCTTTCATGACCTTTCCTCTCGTGCACTCTACCTGCCCCGCTACCAGTGTACCTACCGTCCGCTAATTCTCTCGGAAGAGAGAATCAACACGACTCGCACTCTCAACCGGCTGTTCGCGATCGGCTACGATCGACAGCCTCCGTTAGAGTTCGACCGAGAAAGGAAAGAAGATAGTGGTGGGAGGAGTCGGAGGGGTTGGGTGGTGGTGGTTAACTGAGTGACTGTGTGACTGAAGGAGAGAAAAAAAGATCCTAACTGATGGTGAGGAGGAGGAGGAGGTGGAGTTGAGGAGGTGGCGAGGCGAAGAGAGGAGAGGAGAGCAACCGGAACGGTGAAAAGTGCAAGTAGAAGAGGAGTGTGGTGACGCCGACGCCACTGTGTGCGCGCGTGCTACCGAGATCTGCCGATGCCGCTTCGGTTCTTCACCCTCTTACGCTAGTTTGCGTTTCCATTTGCGTTCGATGCTCTCTTTCTTGGATAATCACAAACTATTCTTCCTACTTCTGCGAACTACTACTTCTTGGGTCAAGACAAAGTTATGTTAGTCTTTTCTGATAAAAACGATCCAAAAAAAAAAGGATTACCAAAGTGAGAGAAGAATGTAGAAATCTTGAAAGTACGTAATACTTTTTTGGTTTCCTTCAAATGTTAGTGTGTCGTGATCGTGAAAAATATCTTTATTTTTTATTTCCTATTAGTTAAAGTGATATTTTATAGAGGTAAGAAATTGGAAATATTTACTGTTTGCACTTTCTCATACGTCTAATGTCATATCTATTGATAAAGTTCTTCTATTTCGTGTCTTTAATATCTGTCTATTGTAGTAAGAGGGGAAAAAATGTTATACATTATTACAATGTGTTCATTATTCTTCATGATTTCAATGATCACGAGAAATAAGGAAAAGTAATGTTTGGCATGCTCTTAATCCTTTAACCGTACCGTGTCTTCGCTTGCGTGGCCTCAACTATTCACTCACTCGATCGATCTTAATCCTATTGACCATCTCTTTTCATCCTACGCGTAGTGGAAAAAGCAACGACTTGTTGGAGGTACGCCCACTGTTGAAACCATCTCGGTTGCACTGCTCTAGATACTTCTTCAATATTTTTCTATATCTTTTTTTTTTTTTTTCGTTTGCCGTTGATAATATTTGTACTTAACCAAAACAATCGTAGCGTTTGTCCAATTGTTTGATAATTCTTATAAATTGTATTCGTTTAAATGTTATTTTAATTGCAAGAACGACGACGACACACAAATAAATTAAATAACGAAGTAGTTAATAACGTCTGTGCAGAACGTAAATCGAAATAGTTTGGCGTCAGTTCGCGTTGCTTTCGCTTTCTCCCAGCACTTTCGCTATCGTTCCCTCGCAAGCACTGTTATACCGCCACCGTTGGTTGCCACTGTTGTACCGTTCCAATTTAATCGCGAAAGTAGTAATCATTTCTACCATTGCTTGATCCTTTTCTTTGCGGAAATGAAACTTGCACGCGGGATGGATAAATTAATAACTTGATCTGTTTCTACAATACCAAATCTTCATTTCAAAACGCACACATGAAAAAGTCAAATAATTAATGAATCTGGAACTAGGAAAAATCAAAAAAATATCCGATTGAAATGACGTTAATTGCTTTTTATGTAAAAAGCTTATTACATCCTTGAAATTATAACTTACTGTATTCTTTTTTAATGAACTCTTTTTTTTCATCAAAGAAAAAGAAGAACTAACTGACGTGTCATTTACATGAATGTTATCAAATGTTCTTGCACGTATCCACACACACATAAGAGCATCGCATCGATTAAAACCAGAATCGGTTTTTTGATCGTGTTTCATGCAAGTGTGGATTTAACAACGACGAGCGTGAAAGTGATTCGACTGTTCGTACACGCTAACCACCTGTTACCTGCCTTCAGAAAAAGGAACGATAACGATGATGACGACACTAGGTCACCGTGTCTCTTTCTTTAAATATTGCCATTTTAATATCGATTAACAAACTATATTGTATATTACAAAGCATTACTAGACAACATTACTATTAAATAGAAGAAAAAGAAAAACCTGTTTTCCCTTTGTCATACGTACAACAAATTAGGTTTCATAAACTGACTCTAAAATCACGGCAATTTAAAATTTAAAAAAGAAAATATGAATCATAAGTGTTCGTTAAAATCGTTCGAATGAAGTTTTAGAGATTTAATTAAGAATTTTTCGAAAGAAAGAATAAGAAGGAAAAGATTATAAAAGATTGGCAAGGATTGAATTAGCTTAGTAGAAGCAGTTCAGAGGGAGGAGGAGAATCGCACGGCTTTTCAGAATTGGTACCGCGAAACCTATATCCGCGTCTATAAAGTGCAGTGAACGCAAGGGAGTGCAACGAACTCGTCTCTCTCCCTCCTACTATTTCTTTCTCACTCCCTCATAGAGTGATACCCCTTCTCTTACAACTCCAACTCCCACTCCTTAATCTTCTCCTACCTCACCCACTATTCAGCCCTCTTCTAGCCACACGTTGCGCCTGTCTCTTTTCGTCCACTATCAAATGCGCCGGTTTTACTCTTCCACGCTCGAGTAATGATGTTCAAAGTCGTTGCTCCTTACCCAACTAACTTAAACGACTACTACTTTTCCTTTTCTTCTATTTCTACGTTAAACTATTTTATTGACTCTTTTTCACCGTCAATAAATCAATGATCGTTTATAAAATTTATAAAAATTTTCAATGGAAAATTATCTTGTTAATTAATAAATGAAATTAAATATGACAAATATTTGTACGCATAAATAATCAAGCATACTCTTTAACATCGCTTTAAATAAATAAAAGGAAAGAATTAGTTGCAAAAAAATGTGTGTTTTTAACACCCTTTTGTTTAATTTTTTGCGTTTCGCGAGATCCTCAATGGCGGGGGTTCTCTGTACTATCTCAGGATTTGCACATCCATTAAATACGACCTTGTATCGAAAATATTAGAAGAGAATGTATATTCGAATTTCTTCTAAAAAAGAAAATATACACGAATGTAAAAATGATTGAAAATTGAATTGACAATTTAATGTAAGTTTAAAAATTAAACTAACTGATTTGAATCGTGCGGTGAAGTGGTTAATTTACAATGTTAATCAATTTCTGTCTAGAAATACATCTAATGATCTTTCAAGTTTATATTAAATACATGGCAAATTGATTCTAATTATAAAAACAAAAAAGTTAGAATAGTCTATAAAAATATTTTCTGATCTATACACTAATCATTCATAATTAATAATCTATTTTACGAACTTGTTGTTACAGTTTGAACAAGATGCACGCAATGGAAGGTTCCGGTGGAAACGGGAAGAGGGTGGACGCTGCGGAAAAAACGAGAGAGGAGGATACATCGAGAACTTCGCCGAAAGTTCCACAAAATCAACAAAATGGTGCGGCACTTCCGGAAGAAACTGCAGCCGCGTCAACGACCACCGCGGATCGTTTACGATCCTCGTCGATAAAGAAGGAACCTTTAGGCGACTCGGAATTGGTTGAAACAACTACGAAAAAAGCTTTATCCTCGTCGGATGGTTCGCAACAAAAGGAACGTGCACCAACACGTTCTCTCAAATCTGATTTAGTGGAAAACTTAGGGAGAAAGCGTAAATCAACTGAGGGACAGTTGTCATCTAATGGAAATCCCACAGCTAAAAAGTTTTGTCTGGAACAACGAGAACGAGAACAATATATCTCCTTTGCAGTTGGCTGCGAAAAACTTAGCCCGGATGAACTCGCCGCAAAAGCTGATCAGCTGCGTAGCGAAGTTCAGGTATTTATTTATTTATTTATCATAGTATAGTTATGAAAATAAGAAGAGAAAGATATATGATCTGATCGTATGATTGTCTAAAATGATACGCTCATTCTTCGATTTTTAGGCCCTCGATCTGTTAGCGCGTAGCAAAGAAATGGAGTGGAATGAGATATTATGTATGAGAAAGCTAAAAGAAGAAGCATACCTGAGGATTGAAAGGAAGAGACAGGTTTTAGGGTTTATGGAAGGAAACCGACAGCTGGGAGAAACATTACCGCCTGCGAGTCTATCTTTGGGACATGAATGGGAGAGCAGCGATAGCACAACGCCCGTGTCTAAAGAAAAATGTTCTTTCGAATCGAAAGAAGATGTTATTCCCGAAGAAAGCTCGCAAGATTTGCCGACATTTAAGAAAGAAAAGAGTTCAAAAGCATCGTCCCATAGACAAGTAACGCCACCTAAACAAACTGGTGAAAATGGTCGAAAACAAATGGAAGCAATGAGTCCTGAAAATAGACAAATTGGAGAAGGTCGTCAAGGCACGATCATTGATGTTAGATCTATCATTGCTGATCACAAGCTAAGACATCCGGAACATGTTCCACGAAGGTAATTCTATATTTGCATAAGTTCAATGAAAACAAATGTTCTCATCGTTGATTAATAGTACCGTCTGACGTAAATTGATTAATAATACCGTCTTATCTATAATCTATACATATGCATGTATATCGTTGTATCTATATATAACACTTCACTGTCAGGGGTCGGAGAATGAGGAATTCAGTGAATGTCGGTTTGAGCGCGGGTGGAGCTATGGTCGAAACCGGACACAATGTAGACTCGCGACCATCTAGTACGGATTCCTGTAAAAGCAATTCGAATGCCAATGATCCTAATAATTCCATGAGCTTCAAAGACGTACTCGTTCAATTTGCAAAGATGAGCCAGCAACAAGGTAAATAAAAAAGATAAAAGATAAAGATTCATAAACCGTATACACATGCATATATTTAATATCACATTAATGTCATTATTGTCAAGAAGATGTGGATCACGCGAAAGAAAATATTCGAATAAATTAGAATAAATTAAAATTGTTTAGGGGAACCGGTGAAAACGCCCCAGAATTATCCAGATGTAACTTTGCATCCTGTAGCGCCATCAGCGACTTCGCAAACTATGCAAACTCAGTCGACTGGTTCATTGCTTCATGGAATTCTGACTAAATCACAATCTCCTAGACCAACCACCTTTTCGCCCACTTTAGCCAGATTACTCACAGCTCCTGAAAGGGAAAGGAACATTCCTACTGTTTCTTTGCCACAGCAAAGTACTGGAACCCACCTTCTGCAACCGTATCAAGGCTCTACTCCGGTTTCTATCAGCGATCTCCTGTCTTCTTCCAAGGTTCGTAATATCCTTGAATATTCTGTATCGTCATAAAATTTAAAAAAAAATCAAACGACAATGAATAAATAATCTATGAATACAAATTACAGGCGAGGACAGAAATAACTATTACGCCAGTCGTCAATACGGCAATACAATCTCATTCTAATAATTTAATTCACGTGGTAAGAAAAAGAATCTTATCTTTATGTTAATTATGTTTTCTATCGATTTAACAATATCAATCTATTAACATGGAATCGTTTTAACAGGAGGATGTGGAGGAAGAGGCTGCTGTCATAGAGGACAGAGAAACTCGAATTTCTTCGGGTGGAAGGGATAACAGAGACGATAATGCACCACGTTGTCAAGGTTGTCATGAATGTGCTGCACAGTTCGTATGTGCCGGCTGTGGTAATCAGTGGTATTGCAGTCGCGAATGTCAAGTATGAAAATATACATTTTGTCTTCTTTAACTTCTAAACAAATTTTACAAATTATAATACATTTGTATATTTTTTATATCAAGCTAAATTTAATTTATTTGCAATATTCTTTACAGGTTGCGGCATGGGACGAGCACTCTGAGTTGTGTACCGGCTAAAATAGACGCGTTTAAATATCTTACCCGAATATTCAACTACTACTTGAGTTACACACAAGTAAAACAACCTACATAATTAAAAACGAATCTAGTCAAGAAACGAAATGAAGGATTAAAAAGGGAGAGCTAGAAAACTTGATTCTTAAACAAGCAAGATTATGGAAGAAATGCTATAAGAACATTGTATATTTTTAAGAGTGTCTAAGTATGTTTAATCTGTAAAAATACAAGTATAATTTTAATTTCCAAGATCGAACGAACGATTGCCAAATTTCATGTGTCATGCTACAAATTTATGATGGAATGTAGCATAGAGAAAAGTCTTAAACGTATTTAGAAATAACAAAGATCAAAATGTAAGGGTCGTTGCTTTACTATAACCTTTGCATTGCCTTTGATTTAATATTGGGATTATGGAAAGTCGATTTTTCATCAGCGAACATAAGAAGCAAAAAAAATAAAAATAACGCTACTGCTCGATCGAAACTTCAAGCATTTAAAATGATATGTTATTAAAGAAGTTAATCGCATTCAATGGAACGACTTACGTATAACGTTACGTATTCACTTAAAATAATACTTTTTATGAAATCATTAATAACTGCAAAACTATAATTAATTGATACACGGATGAATAAATTCATTAATTTAATTATATATAATCCATGAAAAAACTAGTAGTTTTCTAATTTATACCAATTTACTGTTTATGCTAATCCAGACAGAGTTTTCAAAAATAATTTCAAGAAATTCAAATGAAAAACACACGCAGAAGAGTTATACATATTTGTTTATAAACAGATCTAAAAAAAAATAGAGCGAGCGGGAGAGAGAGAGAGAGAGAAAGAGAGAGCGAGAGCGAGCACAAAAAAGAAAAAGTGTAGCTTACGATATAATATTGTATATAATTTTATACAAGTTACCAAGTGTGTGATCGTTCAAACTCGAATTTTAAAAGATCAATTAATAAACGTGTGCCATGTGTCAAATTCTTTTAACCTGGGCGGCTTTACATGTTGGTACGATTCAATGTATGGACTTCTAATCGAAAATGTTTTTATAATTTTATTGCGTTCTTTATATATATTATTATTATTAATATTATTAATATTATTATTATTATTATTATTATTATTATTATTATTTTTCTTTCTTAAGTAGATATCGAAAAAAAATTACATTTTCGCATCTATATCAGAAAAAAAAAGAAGGAATTTTTTCTTGATCGTATCCTTTAATTCCTTCGTTCCGAGGTACGCGCGTATCACAAACACCATATTTTATACCACATTTGTTACCATATAATAAAAATTTAGATTTAATAGATCTTTAACTTTAGCTTAGATTTAAGACTTTTTGTAATTAAGTTAGAAACGTATTGAGATATCTTGCGTTGTCTTTTTTCATTTCTTTTTGTTCTTTCTTTTTTTTTTTTAACTAGCATGTTACCCAATGATGGTGGTCCCAGACAATGTATAGCCCAAAGTTCCTACAGGTACACAACATTATACATATATTTTTCCCAATTACAAAGCAAACCAAAATAAAGTTTTTAATCGTAAAAAATTGACTTAGCATATGTGTACGTATGTTACCCTATCTTTTCACTATAAGTAGACATTTTTTATATATATCGTTACATAAATAAAACTGAAGAATAAATTAATCATTGTTGTTTATTTCTCGTTGCATTTCATCAGATTAGTTAAAAATACTACTCATTCGCGTTTGAAATATTTCATAAAATTTGCGCGAAATTTAAATCCTACGATTGGTACGTTTCATCGGAGAACTTTGAGTCTTTTTCTACAGAGGGTAGTTTAGTTGACGCAAGGAAAACATCTCAAAGTTGTCATTTTTAAAAACGTTACATGAGAAAGTTGTATCCTCTTCGTCGTGTCACATAAATAAAAGTTTAATTACAAAAATAATTATATTATTTATCAAAGATATATATTTTTTGCCGATATAATGTTAACTAATTTGATTTTTCTCTTTGGAATAATGTTTTCATCTGTATTTATAAATGCTTTAAGTAAATTTGTATTTACATATTTATTGTTTGTTTATAAATAATAATAAACATATAATTTCAGATACGAAAGAATTAGTAATTATAATCTTAAGTCAAAAAGAAGGTTATCATGTCGCGCAGGCTGAACTTTTACAACGAAGTATAGAGGAGCAAGCCAGCAATATAGATTCTGTAAGTATTTTTCATTTTTATAAATTACATAAGATATGTAAAATAATAAATAATGTATATTTTTTATTAGGATGTACCAAGTATCGTACTAACTCATCAGTTAGATATTAAAGGGTCATGGACAGTCATACCGTTATTAAATTATTTATCAAATAATTATCCAAATACAAAGTGGTATTTCTTCTGTTTAGAAAATACAGTTGTTAATTTAAGTAAATTGCTAACTGTATTGTTTTCCTTTGATTCTAACCAGGTAAGTATTATTTTCGTGGATATTGAAATTATTAACTTATTTAACATTTATTTAATGCATTAAATATTATGCTAATTTTTACAGATTGCCCTTAGACTTTCAACAAAAGGAACTTAATGTTTAATCTATTAACATTTATTCGTATTCTAGGAATTATGGATTGGACACGCTTTGTATGACATTAAACCTACTATCATTCATCATTTTGCTACACATAACAAAAAATTTAAATATCCCCATTTTACTACCGGATTCGCATTGACTTCTAAACTCTTAAATAGGTTTTCCTTATTTTCTCTTAACAAATATAAAGTATAAAATTCTTATTATACAAAATTTCATAATTTTTTGGTATGTATTTGTTTCAGAATAGCACAGGAAGTTTTGCTTGAATTATATATCAGCAATGATTTTTCTATTGACCCTGCTTACGAATTAGCAGATTATATTTTAAAAAGCAAAAAGCCTATTAAATTAACTCACGTTCCTGAGCTATGCGTTGTTTCTACCAACTATTGTGCGACATACCCTAGAATCTTTCATCCATGTGTAAGTTGAAAAATAATATTTATACAAATAAATTAAATATATTTAAATGTAATTGTAATTTCAGGCCACAAAAATTTCTTTACGAAATATATATTTCGCAGTAAAAACTTGTTCCATGTATCACGATAAAAGAATCCCCATTATTAAAAATACATGGGCAAAATATGCTGTAAATATCGGATATTTCAGTGATCAAGCTGGTAAAATTTGATTTATTCTTTGTTTGAATATAATATAATGTTTATTTTAATCATAGATATAGAAGAATAGAATAAACAATATTTTGTCAATATAGATAAGAACTTATCAGAAGCATATGTTGTAACAAATACCACAAAAGGACACTGTGCTAAAACTTATGATATTTTAAAAGAAGTTGCTAAAATATTGAAAAGTAAAAATCTTGATTGGTTAATCATAAGCGATGACGATACTATTTTCAGGTATATTGCAATCATATGTTACTATGCCATATCACTTTTACTGTTGACTAATGAACATTTACGATTATGAAAAACAGTGTGGTACGATTAATGAGTTTACTAACATGTTACTATCCCAAAATTCCAATTGCTATTGGTGAACGTTATGGTTATCAAGTACGAGATGAATCATTTGGATATGATTATTTAACTGGAGGTGCTGGAATTGTTCTATCTGCGCCTCTTGTTTATCAAATAATAGATTCCGGTGTTTGTAAATGTCCATCATCGAGTACACCAGATGATATGTTTCTTTTTGGCATATGTTTACACAGACTGGGCATACAACTTACACATTCTTATTTATTTCACCAGGTATTTGTAGTTTTTAAAATAATCTCTATCATATTAAAACTTAAGGAATATTTTTTTTTTATAATTAATTACATATTTTATATAATGTAGGCTCGTCCTGTGGACTATGCTACTGCTTATCTCGCTTCACAAGAACCCATATCTTTTCATAAATTCTGGGAGATTGATCCTATAAAACTATATAATCAATGGTTCTCTGAAGCAGATAGTTCGCTTTCTAAAAAACATACCGAATTATAAGACTGATATTCAACACGAATTCTTAAATCTCAAATAAACATCTATGTTAAAATTATTTCACTCATATAAGATCATTTTTTTATATGAAATCATTATGTATAGAATGTAATAATAAATACTTCAATAAATAAGCATTAGTATTTTTAAAGTTTTTATTTACATATATTTTTTAGATCAAAAATATATTATATAAATACATAAAACCAATAAATATAAACAACAATATTTAAAACACTATAATAGTATATTTTTAATACCGATATTTTTATACCTATCCCATAATCAAAAAAGAATATATATGTTACGATCAATGTATTACTGTAGATATTGTATACATTGCCCGGTTAATCTATAAAATGCCCAGAGAGTCTTGATCAATCTATAAAATGTGTACAGCCAACTGAAGCACATTTTAGATTGACCGGGCAATGTATAATATTAGCAACTATATAAGGGTCGTCCAACGAGTAATTAAGAAATATTTAATATAAAAATAAACGACAATTAATTATATCAAAGAGATTTTGTATCATAATTTTGATTGTATAATTTCTTTCCACCATTTAGGACGTTCGAAATTCGCCTTATTTTCAAAAATCTTCTCTTGGATATGCTTATATACCTGTTGATATTTTTATATTATTAAATAACAAATTTTAAAGATATTTGATAGATAAGTTGTATTGAATAGTTGATAATAAACATACATTTCCATCAGCCATTCCTAGGGGTGAATTAATAATATGATCAGGTGGTGCTAATACATCAACTAAAGCCACGGCATCTACCAATAAATCTTTGCACAACATTATAATTCCTTGTCGTAATTTATCATCCATGTGACTATCAACTGATACATAACCACCAGCATACAAATCTACTAATCTTTTTTCCAACATCGTTGAACCAAATAATGAACATAACTTTCTAAGTACCTCATATTCTTTCTTTTTCCAATTTGATTCTTTTATGCATTCGACGAAAGTCTTAAGTAAAACGTACTAAAAAAATGATAGTGAAAATAATTAGAACAAAGTTAGGGTATATTATAAAATGAAAATCAAAATCGTTTCTTACTTCTCCATATACCAGAGATAACGTTCGCGCATAAAATAATTGTGAATTGTTCCGCACCATAAAATCGGTACACCCATTTTCTTTAAGACTTTGTACGTGTTCATTTGTTTTTTTTAAATAATAACTTACCAACCATTTGAATGAAAATAATAAATCTGAAATAAAATGAGTACATTTTGTTATAACAAGAATCAAATGATAACTTGATCGACTTATAAAACAACTATTCTCATACTTTCAATGTTCATAGTTTCTTCAATTGTCTTGCAATTAAATTTTTGTTTCAGGATATTTTTACTATCTTGTAAGAAATCTATTGTTCCAAGCGGAGATGAAATAGTTTGTCCATTCAAAATATAAGACCATTGATTTAATAACCAGTTACTCGATTGTTGAATGAGTATATTATTTTCACCTTCATAAGTACAATTTGCGTCATGATCAGCTCGTATATCTCCTAAACGTGACACTGTAGACAAATCGATGATATTATTACTGCAACATTTAGTTATTTTACGTCACTAATTGTTTTTACATACTTTTTAAATATCCATGACCACCACATGACTCTCTACAATCCTGAATTGCGTCTCGTGAAATCCACGAACACAATGGTTTTAAAACGGAAGATAACGCGTGAAACTCCATACCTTCTAAATTAAGTTGTTCGCGATTTCCCCCATTCATAAGCCTTATTTGAAACTCTTGTATTTTCTCGCTATATTTTCTGAAAAATATTTGTATTGCGTATGCCGATGCCAAAAGCGGGAACAATCTACCTTGCTGAAATGTATAACATAAATTAATGATTAACTGTAATAGTTTATAATATGTTATTTTTATAATAATTATTAGAAATGTTTGAATTCGTTTAAATAATATACCTGTGATTGATATTCTATTACAGGCCACTCTTCATCTTCTGATGGACCAAATTGTTTTCTTACCGCGCAATATCGTAATGCTATAACTAGTGCAAGATTTAAAAAACTCGAACATAATCCCGTGATGAAGAAACGTCCTACTGACAATGCACCAAATGATGCACCTAAAAGTTTTTTAAATAATAAGTAATTTTCAGTATACACACAAATTATACAATTATAAAGATATTTATGTATTTATATAAATACCAAGTCTTTTATTGTTATCTTTAAAAGATGATATATATTGTCCATCTTCAGTAACATCGGCTGTTCGATTTAACAAGTATGTATGTGGAATGTGATAATTGTTAAACGTAACAAAACCATTATCAACTCCGTTAAGTCCAATTTTTTCGCCTAAATCTCCAACAGTTACACCAGGGAATGGTAAATAGGTTTTAGGATCTCGTAAAGGTACAACAAAAGAATGAAGACCGTGATTTACACCATCAGGTGTAATCAATTGTGCAAAAATAATGGCATGTGTTGCAGTCTGTCCTATCATTTTTCAAAATTTAATATTAATTAGTTATATTAATACATTATATAATGGTAATACGCAATAAACAATAATATTTAAGTATATATACCTAAACCACCAACCCAACATTTTGCAGCTTCAAAATCTGATGAATGTAGACAAAATGTTTTTCTATTAACGTCATATGTTGCAGTAGTCCTCATACCTTTTACATTTGTACCATGCGCTATTTCAGTTAAAGCAAAACAGCCTAAATACTGAAAAATTATTAATGCTTGTTAAAATTACTTTACAGAAAAATTAAATTTGTATACTTTTCCACCTACTTCCCGATTGGAGATTTTTGTGAGAAGATCTTCATGGCGTTTCGTACCTAAAGTGAAAATAACACTTGGAACCATACCATGCATGATACTTAATTTGACCACTATTGACGGATCATATGGAACAAGTAAATTAATGTAACTTCCCAAGGTAATTGGCTATAATGTTGATTTATATCAATGTAACACATCATAATAGATATAAGATTAAATATTTGTTTAATTTTTACAAAAAAATATATACTTACATTAATATCATTGTCTAGAAGAGCGTTAATTTGAGCTGTACAAATTCTACGATTTTCATCTAATGTCAGAGGGGGAATATTACTTTTTTTAAATACAGAATTGTCCTTTAATAATGACCAGAGTTTATTCTGCAAATATATCATTTTTTATTTTTCAATTAACATTCTCGATGGTAAAGTTCTGTAAAGTTTTTTAATTATATTTACCTCAAATTCTATAACATTTTCCCCGACTAAATTTATTTTAAGTAATTTCCAATCAAATCTAGCAAGTTTTCTGTATTTATCCAAAGGACCTTTTGGTAAATCATTTATTAAATTTTTTAAATTTGCTAGTCTCATTGTTTCGTATAAATGTTTTGAAACTGTAAAATAACAAAAATAATATAACTCCTTAATATAATCCTCGTTAGTATAGTGGTTAGTATCCCCGCCTGTCACGCGGGAGACCGGGGTTCGATTCCCCGACGGGGAGATTTTTTTTTTTATTACATATCCTAATGTTTTTTAATTTAAATATTCAAATATATATATATTTTGTATGCAAATATTTTATTGATATTTACTTTATCCCTCCCTATGTAATAAATAATTATTTATTGTGTATGTATACTTTTTTTTTTACGGTTTCGAGTAACTTCTTCGTAAACACCACTTTCTCACACCTATCCAATAATAATAAAAAAGACACGTCGTTTTACTGTCTCTCTGAAAATAACAGCACACAGTTTTGATTTTTCCAAACGAATCACACATCCATTATATTAACAATATCTACTTTACTTATCCTTAGTGATTTGACTTGATCTAGTAATCTAACGTAGCTAAGTCGTTGATCACAATAATTGCTTATTAATTAATTCAAAATATAACTTAAATGTACATTACTATCATTGGTAAATATACAATTGATTATCTGTATTTTTCCATACAATTGACTGAACTAGACGAAATCGATGTAATCGACGAACTAACGATACTAACAACTAATTTATTCGATTTACATAAAGAAACACAGAATAACATGCCTCGTTAATATGAATATACCATTTCCATTATAAATATTTATAAAAGGTTTATATTACTCAATAAACATAAATCTGAATTGTATGCATAAGGTAAATATAATGCGTATATTAAAGGTATATTAAATAAAAATTTTCACACATGAAATAATACAAATAATTTTCTATTTTCTTTTTTCTTTTTCTTCTTCTGTGTAGTTCTGTGTAATTCACATGTATGCACATATACAAAACAATATACGTTTAAAATAACAATTGCCTTTTAAAAATGTATCGTCTCATTTACATCAGTAGAATACAGCATTAATCAATAAATTGAATGTTGAATTATTTATATTCGAATAGATCATAAAAAATTAATTAGATGAACAAAGGTCAAATTAAGGAAAGAAAAATAAGCGCGTCATGATACTATTTCGAATTATATTCATTACCTTATTTTATATTAATTTTACATTGGCATTTCAGAAGAAGTAATTTAAGTATTATTATAAAGATATTAAATATGTTAAATATAATTATATATAAAAAGAATTATATTCTTTTTTCTTTTTACCGATCAGTAGAAATCTGCAAATTGACAAATGCAAAAAAAATTTGCGCTATTTGAAACCAGTGATCGATCGATTAATAGAAGAAATTACGAATCGTAGTACTTGTAACATTTTTGTGACAGATCGTATTTATCATGGATTAATAAATAACAACAAGAAAATTTCTAACGTTTTAAAATATAACGTGAGTATAATAAAATATTATCTTGTTTTTAAACACATACTTTTGCTACAGTATTTGATCAGCAAATAGTATTAACATTTATTTGAGAGATTTATTTATTTATTTATTATTTTATTTATAATATTTTTAATGTAGATCTTATTACTTGGTAACGAAGAGTTTTCTTCAACAAGACGAAGCATTCATAAAGTTCTTGCACACAGTAAAATAATTGGATGCAATGGATATATTATACTTGTTGCTAACGGTTTGTTAGTTTCTAAATTTTTGCAATACACAGAAAGGTGATACGATGAAGATCTTTTTTTAGTACTACTTATATATATCGTATAAAAATAATATTTTGTATGAAATTTAATAAAATAATAAAAATGTTTATTTTTCCAGAGAAGAATTAATCAACACTCATGGCTTCTTTTTATTATTACACGATTATAGACTTTTCATATCCGATTTGCATTATATTTGGAATAGAATAATTAATGTTATATTTGTGCATCAATATAAACCATACAAATACCGTTCAGGTGATACATCTGCTCGACCTATAATTAATTTAGAAACAGTATACTTTCCAAGTAAAAAAAAAAAGTTTGTAATAACGAAGTATTTAGATACTTGGCACCATGGAAAATTTCGTTATGGTAAAGATCACTTTGTACAAAGGATTTCAGATCTGAAAGGAATAACTTTAAGGTTTGAAACTGTCAATTAATTAAAAATATAAATGATTTACTATTGCAATGTTTCTCATACAATGATTTCTTTTTTATCTTATTTATTCTTAAAGAGTTTCAGTTTTTGAACACATMCCAGCCGTAACAAAAGAATCACAAAATTTTTATAAAGGCGGTCCAACTTACAGCACTAAAGGATTGGGTGTTGAATTTGAAGTTTGTACAAGTGTCTTACAAGATTATATATTTTTTATATTGATTTGTATAGATTATCTTGTTATCTTTTTTAGTTAATTCGAGTTATAGCCCAATTTATGAACTTTAAAGCACAGTATTACATGCCTTACAACATAGCCGATGACAGGTGGGGAGCTTTAGAGAAAAATGGAACGTATACTGGTCTTATAGGAGAAGCAATAGCAAGAAAAGCTACATTTTATATTGGAGATCTCCATTATACTTCCTATCTTTTAAAATTCTTTGAGCTATCTATTCCTTATAACACGGAATGTCTTACTTTCTTAACTCCCGAATCTTTAACAGATAATTCATGGAAACTTTTAATTCTTCCTTTCAAGTACGATCATTAATAAAAGGACAATTTTTAATAATAAATTACAAAATTGTTCATAAATAAAAAATAAATATATAATCTTCTCATTATATTTAGACTCTACACATGGATTGCAGTTCTTTTTACTCTTTTACTAGCAGGAGGAATTATTCATCTTTTTTCGTTATCTTATCAGAAACACATAATTCTCTATAAGGATGCTAAACAACAATTAGTTAAAACTAACAAGCTTAATGAAATAGAAAAATCAAGGATTAAACATATGACGAAGGGTATTTATTTGTTTACTAAAGCACAGAATAGCATGTTATATACATACAGTATGCTACTTTTGGTATCATTACCTCGATTGCCAAATTCTTGGGCTTTGAGAGTCCTTATAGGATGGTGGTGGATTTACAGTATCTTGGTTGTCGTAGTCTATCGTGCCAGTATGACAGCGACTCTTGCTAATCCTGTGGCTAAGTAAAATCAAAACGTATACAAGAATTATATTGGTAAGAACAATTTAACACTTAATTTTATATATTCTTCTTATGTTTAAAATACAGAATCACTATCGATACATTGGATCAATTAGCTAGAAGTTCCATTTCCATTGGCGGATGGAGTGAAGAAAGTAAAGAATTCTTTTTACAATCCTCAGACTCAGATAGTCAAAAGATTGGTAATAAATTTCAATTGATAAAAGATGAAAAGGAATCTATAGAAAAAGTAGCAAATGGATCTTTCGGTTACTACGAAAATGAATTTTTCTTGAGATTCATTCATACAGAAAAATATACGTTGGAAAAAAAGCAAGAAGAAAATAATACACCAAATAATAGAACGTCAGACATGAAACATAATTTGCATATTATGAAAACCTGTATAATTAATATGCCAATCTCTCTTGGAATGGATAAAAATTCTCCGTTAAAGCCATATGTTGATTTATGGGTAATGACTATTTTAATAATTACCTTGTATCATTGAATACTCAAGTTTTTTTAAATATATATATATATATATATATATATAAATAATATGGGTGATATTTTATTTTTTAGGTTAGACGTATGATGGAAGTTGGTTTAGTAAATAAATGGTTAAGTGATGTAATTTATCCATTGCGACTTACCGAAAAACAACAAGAGAAAATTTCTGCGAAAGCATTGGTTAATCTTCACAAGCTTTATGGTGCTCTCGTTGCTTTAAGTATAGGTTATTTTTTTAGCTTAATAACATTACTATGTGAAATTTTACATTGGAAATATATCGTTTTAAACAATCCTAAATATGATAAATATTACTTAGATAAATTTTATGCTTAAGTATGAACACGTTTATTAAATATTTATGTAATTTAATTACAATAAAAACAAATAACCATATATATATATATATATATTTCTAAATTTTTGCAATACACATATATATATATATAAACGTCTAATTAGAAATATTTATATGAAACTGTATTTACAATAGATTATTGCTTACCTTCTCGCAGCGTTTATTTTACAAATTAGATCACTATAACGAATGAACTAAATATAAAATCACGACTTCAACACTTAAAAACATAAAAATACAAATTCATCGTCTAATAAAGTAAAATCAATTTGATATGCAATTTACTAATATAGTTCGAACTTTACAATCCAAAGTTCAAAAGTTCTATCTACGATTACGATAAAAATATATAATATTTATAATACCTCGTTTTAGATTGCCGGGATTTTTAAATTGCAAAACAGTTTTTATTGTACGAAACTAAAATATTGTTTATAGAAAAAACATTCACTGTCTAATTAAAATTCATTACATGACAACTATCACATGACTTAACCTAAATGAAAGTACATTTTTATATAAATCTACTATATTATGATTTTTTTTGGTAGAAACTTTATTAATCGTTTGGCTACCGGAGGATTTCCAAAAAAACACGATCGAGAAAAGCTGAATGACGCTAGACCACCGTCAATTGTCTGTATTGACAATGAATCAAAAAGCGCTAGCATTTTTCGACATGAAATCTGAAGAGAGCGAAAGCAGCCCGTGGTAGTCAAACGGTTAATTACAGTAGGTGAGAAAGTACATACACTGACCAATTTGAAATACAACTTCGTAGAATTGTTGTTTATTAACTAATTTTTTATAAACAAGAAATATAAACATATTCTCCGAAATCTCTAGAATAGGTAGAATGTAACAAATAATAATTTACTTATATAATTTACGAAATTAACAAGAAAAAACAAAAAATCTACACAAACTTATTTCACTTATTTTGGGATTTTGCTTTATCATACTAATAATAACTCGTCCAGTTTACTAATTAACTTTTTGTAAACATCTACTTCTTAAGTTATGTTACAGCTTCTTTCTTAATCTAAACCTATCAATTACCTATACTTTATATAGTAGATAGAAGTTTGTTTATAATCCGCGATATTTCTGATAAACTTTTACACTGATTATGCAAATTAATAATAATTTTTTTTCTTCTATCGTCATTTTTCAACAATAATTATTAATCGTACAAAATTTTAAGCTCTATTAATGCTGATAACGCTTCCAAACATATATACTGACAATATCAATTGTTTATAGAAAGTAATCATATGTGTTTACCTTATAAACTCTGTTGTGAATAGCTCGAAATAAGAACTGTACAAATACTTATTGCTCTCATATTTCTGTCGATTTTTTGCTTTTCTTTTTTAATTTTGTAACTTATATAAATAAATTATTATTTATTACATCGTACCTATTCTAAAGATTTCGGAGAATATGTCTACATTCCTGGTTTATAAAACATTAGGTAATAAACAACAATCTCATAAAGCTTTGTATACAATTGATTGGTGTATGAATATTTTCTACACTCATCATATATTTATGAATACTAGAATTAAAGGATATATGTCGTAAAAAATAAAGCTTTTTTTTTGAAAAATCAATGGTAAGCTTCAAGTCCTTTTCTCGCATATTTATCCGCCATCTCGTTGCCATAAACTCCTGAATGTCCTTTAACATGATTCTGTAATATCATAAATATCATCAATAAAATTTGTTACTTGATAATGGAAATAATATTATATTGTAAATAAACTTTACCCATATAATCTGTAAAGATTCAAGCTCTCTTTCCATTTCTAAAAGTTCTTCTTTGTTGATAACTGGACCCTTAGATGCAGTTAACCATCCGTTTCTTTTCCACTTGGGCATCCATTTGGTTATACAATTAATAAGAAATTTGGAATCAGTGCAAATTCTTAATTTTTTTATACCAGCCTTTTTGGCTTGTCTAGCTGCCATAGTCACTGCTTGAATCTCTGCCCTATTATTGGTTGCTTTACCAATAGCAGGTTGGGATATATTTCTGTAAATATCAAATAAAAAATCTTTAAATTACGAGCAATAATTTTAATATTTGTTAAAAGATCATAATGAAATAAATAACAAAACCAACAAATGTTTAAGATGAGGAGCTGGAAACCAAACACCAATTCCTGCACGTGCACCTTTAAAACCATTTAACGAGCATGCCCCATCTGTATATACATCGGTATAAGATTGGCTACTTGTAGAAGGTAAAACTATGTTAACAGAATTCTGTAGAACAAACAGTTGCATGTAAACTTTATTTGCTATACAGGCATAAAAATTTATAGAATTTATATTATAGAATAATGGTCAAGATTTATCTCTTCTGAGACTTGACTAGTTTTTAATTTTCTTACCTTAGCTTTTGATCGGTCCAATTGTGATTGCAGTGTTGACGAACATCTACAGTTGTCTTCCATTTGACATTCAACAGCAATTGGAATCCTTGATGATGAAAAAAAAGATTATCAATAACTACCATATAATCTATATTTTAATGATCCAAATTCCAAGCAGTACAGTCATACAATTCAGATTTCTTGTCGGAAAGTGCCAATGTTATTGAAACATAATGTACAATCAATATGTAGTCTCCAAATTTTGAATTTATCGATATGATTTTTCTAAAAACTATTGGAACTTAATAGTTAAATTACTTTTCTCGAAGAAATGCTTATTGGTATAAATACAGATAATAAACTAATAAGACAATAGAAAATCTTATTCTATCTCTCAAAAATTTTCACAAAAATGAATATGATAGAATGCAATATAGAATACAATATATATCATCGAAAGTCTAATAAAGTATCATAAAATTAATATAATTGAAAATATATACATAAATACTTACCCATTTTTCGATGCATTCGAAGAATATCGACATATAAAACTTTCGGCTTCTTCTTGAGTGGGAAATTTTTTAAATATAGATCCAGAATATTTCATAACTTGTTGCTCACATTCTGGCCTTAAAAAATTATAAAATAGTTTAAATAAGTAACACTATTTAAGATATATATTATATAAATAATTTAATAAATTTAGTTTTTTCTTATATATACCAAGAAAGATAAATTCCTGGTTTTCTTCCTCTGGCAACGGCATAATAAAACATAGGCATTTCAAAAATATAATTTGAAAAACGCAGAACGCTAAGTTTCATAAATCGAATTGAAATAATGTTTTCTACATATAAGAAAAACCGGAAATATCTTTTCTTTATCAATTGTAAACAAAGAAATAATAGTTTAATTGTGCGAAGAACGAACTCGTGTCTTGTTACACGATCAATGCGCATGCGCGAAATTTCATAACTTTCTCTAATTGGTCAGAAAAATTATTATTCTTAAAAAATTGAAATTTAAAAAAAATTTTAAAGAAATTTCTGCGATTTAACAACAATAATTATCGGAGAATCTCAATCGTATCTGTCTTATCATTAACACAAGTTTAAAGATCTTTATTAACACTTTGACGTCCGGGCGTTTCGAAAAAATATCTTCGCTTGGCGCTGCCAACGCTACTTCTGATTACTTCGCGTACATCCGACCGTATTCTAACTGCATGTCGCCGGGCGTAGAACTACTCTTTGTGCATCACACCAATGTTGTGTATCCGGCGATATTGCAACTTTTGTGCATGACACCAATGTGGTGTCGCCGGACGTCATAATATTAAGGATAATTCTCATCAACCGTTCAAATAGAGGAAGTAGCGACTATGAAAAGTACCACGTTAGTTTAGACAAACTATTTGAAAAAAAATAATAATAATTCGTAATAATAAATACGGATTAGAGCACTATCTATTAGTAAATTTGATAAATTGAGTATGTTTTTTTTTTGCCTAAATATTAAGATCATATACATGTACATTAAATGTGTGTTAGTTATTATTTAAAGTAAGATAAGAGTATCGAATGACATTGCAGACTCAACTTCCGGTTGCGCAAAGATCATTAATTTCGTCGCCATCATAGCGACGAAATCGCGACCGTGGTGGTCCGCAGAAATATTTAATCGTCGTTTACGACGAAAGGGAGGCCGATCGCTTCCTAAAAGAAAATAAAGCGAGAATTTTCGCTTTCTTCCTTCGCTCTTCGTTTAAACATCGTTAAAAACCTACTCATCGACGGTCGACCATCGGCTTATCGAGGGTTTCTTTTACAACTTTGGAATTAACGAAACATGGCTTATTGAAGAAGATGAAGGGCTTGCGGAAAAATCCTATTTCTCCATACGGAGGAGACCATATCTCTGCCAACGCAATAAACGAGGCCAAATTTAGCCGAACTGCCAATGGACAAAAAGACCAAATATCCACAGTCCTCTTCAAAGGGGACTGCTGGTGATTCCAAGAAAAGTCAAGGTACGTCACCACTTCGTGTCGCTAGTTGTTAAAATGACATTAACTTTTTTTTTATTTTATTTTCTCTCTATTTCTTTATAAACAATCCTTACTTTTCAATATTAATATTGCTAAATATTGAAATCTATTTTATTTTATAATATCCAACTATTACGATATTGGAAAGATCTGCTATTTCGTATGTGACTGTTAACATGTATGGCGCAATAGCATTAAAAACACATTTCATGATTTTGAATCTATGTATATGTTTGTTGATACTGTTTGAAGGTCCTTTGTCGTAATCATGTCCTTTATTTATTTTAGATGTTGCCAACAATAAATTATTTCCGAAAACATCACGCAAACGTGAACCAACTGGCGCTAATACCTTGTCCAAATATGATCAGACTAAAAAGTACAATACACAGAAAACAAAAACTTTTGATAAGAGACCAAAACCTAAAGGACAATATCATGGCGGTTCAAAGGAGGATACCAAGGTAAATATTTAGGGAAAGAATAAACAAAAGAATTTTTAATTTTTTAATAATATTAGGTAGTAGAAAGCGAAGTAGCTGAGTTCGGCTCAGTTATGGCTCAAGGAAGTAAAAAGCAGAATTTGAATCATCTGCTAAATTTTCATTATGAACCACGTGACATGCGAAGTGGTTCGGATACATGGAGAGTAGGAAGCGTGAATAAAGGAAACCATAACAGTAACAGATGGCTACCGCCAGTACAACGGCATAAGTATAACAAGGAACAATTCCTACAAGCCAGGTGAAAGTCTATAATTGTATTCTAAACTAATTTCTTTTTATACGTATATATTTGTATAGATATATAATAAATTTTTTAAATTTATTTTTTTATATACTCTTTTTAGCTGCCAATTTATTGTGACTCCCAATGAAGACTATTCTTTATACCTAACTGATCCTGATATCCTCGTTGATTGGAAATTTATTGAACAGATAGTAAGTTTCTCTACGCGCACATTTATTTATTTTTGTTTTTTTTTGATATAAGTTAAAATTAATAATTTTTTATATTAAATTTTCGTTTCAGAAAATATATAATACTGAAAGCTTATCGTGCCCAATTTGTTTATTCGCCCCAGTAGCTGCAAAAATGACTCGTTGTGGTCATGTTTATTGTTGGCCATGCATTTTGCATTATTTATCTTTATCTGATAAGTCCTGGCGCAAATGCCCTATTTGTTACGAATCTGTACATAAATCTGATTTGAAAAGGTTCATTTAATTTATCTTATCTTACGTACAATTTCATTTCACTTATATTTTGATTTATAGATAAATAATTGAATTTTTGTTTAGTGTTATTGAAGTTACACAGAATGCTGTTAATTTGGGTGATCCAATAACATTACGTTTAATGCGGCGTGAAAAGGGTTCATTAATTGCAATGCCAGCAAGTGAACCTGTTATTGTCGCTCCAACAACATTTTTCCAAGTTTCTAAAGATTGCAATAAACAAGTTTATTCTAAACTTCTAATAGCAAACCCAAGAGATGTAAGTTCTATAATATTAGCAAAAAATTCCCACAAACATTGAATAGAAGATATCTATCATTAAATTTATTTAGTAAAGTGTCATCAAAGACTTTTCTAATTATACGTAGATTATGGATATCATAGAGTCTGAACGGACACAGTTAGAAATTGAATTAATGGATGATCCGCATTCTCCTGAAAATTGTTATATCGAACAAGCAATTCGTGAACTTGCCAAGAGAGAAGAGGAACTCGTACAAAAAGTATTATTTTTTAATATTTCTTAATTTTTCTTTAATTTTCATTATAAAATAAAATTAATAGAATATGTAACTGAATGTAGAAAGTAAACGACAATGGATCACATCAAGAAGTAATGGGAAATATTTCATCTACATCAATAGGAGATAAAACAGATCAAGAGGAACAAGAAAACCATCAATTAACAACACAACAAATGAATGACAAAAGAAATAATTTATCCGAAGATCAATTTTTATGCGAAGAAACGATTGTAACTAGTAATGACAACACTTTGTTGAATGAAACGTTATTACCTTCACCTTCGCAAAAATTCTTTTATTTCTATCAGGGTAATATAATAATAATCGATTATAAAAATAAAGAATAATAAAAAAATTACATTTACGTGTAATTTTTAGCCGAAGATGGACAACATATTTATCTCCACGCAATGAATATAAAAATGTTGGAAATGCATTATGGTAGTCTCGAACATTGTCCGCCGGTGATTACAGGAAAATTGTTAGAAAAGGAAGTAGGCAGTTTTACGGAAGATTTACGACGACGATTAAGGTATCTTTGTCATTTACCTATAACCTGTCCATTTGAAGTTGCTGAAATTGAGCTTAAACCACCTACTGTATCGGAAGATGTCCTTAACTCCTTTCACGGTAATGAATCATGTTCTGTTGTTAACACATTGAACGTCGTTATTGCGGGATATGTTCTACTTGGCAGTTATTTCTTTTCACATTTGTATAATTTCTAACAAAACATAAGTAATGGTCTATGCAAAATTAGATCGACGAGTCACTCTGTAAAAATTAATGAAAAAGTTAATATCTGTTTCGTCGTAAGACGAGCAATGTATAAGCGCCGGCGTTTAATGTGTTAAAATGATTCGACATTATTACTTTAAGTTTATTTTTCGTATACATTCCTAATATTATAGAACAATTGGAAACTCGACAAAAGCGAAGACAACGTAGAGAACGTGAAGAAAGGAAACGAGAGAAGAAAATTATTGAAGAAGAAAACAAACAAATGGGCAAATATCCAATCGCAAATGTGAACATCGATTCAACGCATCACTTTCCCCAGTGGCAACCCGAACTTTTTACAGAGTACGTCTTTATATTATTGCTCTTAATTACATGTCGTAAAATGATGAGAAGAAATGAAGAATGAAAATAAATATTTATTTTATTTATTTAGAGATACGATTTTATCACCACCAGAATCATTGGCTACCTCCAGTGTAGCCAGCAGTCCGTCTTTGAGTACATTTGACGAAGTTGTCTCAACTACAACAAAACTAACTAACTCGAATGAACAAGGTCCATCATTTGCTGAAATGTTACGCAATACCGGGTCACGTATTAAAAAAACTAGTAAAGCCTGGCCAAGTATCAAAACAACTCCTCTTGAAAGATTAAGAAATACCAATGAAAATATCGAAGAAGATGACAATGCTCATGCTCCATCTTATAATCAAAGTTTTGGTGACGCCTTGGCACAAGCTTTGGAGCAAACAAAATTGTTAGATTCTGGTACGACGATATTATTTAAAAAAATAAGATTAATGTATAATTTAATTTTTGATTCGTACAAATATTTATTTTTCTACATGTTACAGAATCTACTGACAATGTGAGAGATAAAAAGAAAAAGAAAAAGAAGAGTAAAGCCACTGTATTATTTGCAACCAATATGTCACGCTCCTCATAAAAAAGGAAAAGCTTGAGTGTTATTTATTTTTAGTAAAGTTGCTTTTTCTTTCTTCAATTTAAGCTGAAATTTAGTTGGTATTCGGAAATAAATTTGGATATTTTATTGAAAAAGTTGCATCTTTTTAGTATTAGATTTGCTTTTACGTTTAATGTAAAATTTTCTTAATAAGCTTGGAAAATAAAAACCTTGATTTTAAAAATTAATTATGGAAAATATATGTATATATATATTACTAATCACCGAATCTTACCTTAACAAGAAATAAAATAATAAAACAATCGTGAACCATCAATTTCAAATGATTAAACATTTATTTTTTGAGTAATTCTACTTCAATATTTATTAATGCAAACTTATCATTGAAAAGTATATCTTTAGATTTATGTTTTTATAGTATAAAAAAGAGAAGATAATAATAAAAACTGCAATTCATAATAGGTTTCGGAAAATGTTCTGTATTTAATGCAGTTCTTGGAACATAGAAACTTTAACAAATCTTCATGAGACTTACATTCGTTACAATACAGCGTAGAGATACTATCACTGTAAGAATATTATACAAATTTAATTATTATTAATTACCTAAGTAACTTAAGTAATAAATAAATAAATAAAGTGAGAAGAAAGTAACAGGTACTGAAAAATATATGTTTAAAAAATTATTTATGCTGAAGAATATTAAAAATAAAAAAAATATAACAAAAAGAAGTTGCTTGTAATTGTTCTATGTTCTTTTATTCAAGTACATATTTTTTGAGAATGGGCAGTAGCAAGTGGGAACAGTTTCCTTTAATCGACTTCCTCAATGGTAGGTCCAGAAGCGCTTCCGCCACCAGGAGCTCCACCAGGAGCAGCACCGCCAGCACCAGGGAAACCACCTGGCATTCCACCGGGCATGCCACCTGCTCCTTGGTACAATTTCGTGATGATGGGATTGCAGATGGACTCCAGTTCTTTCTGCTTATGTTCATATTCCTCCTTATCAGCCAGCTGATTTGCGTCGAGCCATTTAATAATTTCATTGCATTTGTCCAAGACAAGTTGTTTATCACTGGCGCTAATTTTATCTTTAAGTTTCTCATCTTCTGCAGTGCTCTTGATGTTGAAGCAGTAAGACTCAAGACTGTTCTTAGCGGCAATGGTCTCTTTCTGTTTCTCATCCTCGCTACGGTATTTTTCAGCTTCGTTAACCATTCTCTCAATATCTTCCTTGCTAAGACGTCCCTTATCGTTGGTAATAGTGATTTTGTTCTCCTTGCCAGTAGATTTGTCCACAGCAGAGACATTAAGGATACCGTTGGCATCAATATCGAAGGTAACTTCGATTTGCGGTACACCTCGTGGTGCTGGTGGAATTCCGCTAAGTTCGAATTTACCCAAGAGATTGTTATCCTTGGTCATAGCACGTTCACCCTCGTATACCTGAATCAATACGCCAGGTTGATTGTCGGCATAAGTAGTAAAGGTTTGAGTTTGTTTCGTTGGAATAGTGGTGTTTCTCTTAATAAGAGCTGTCATGACACCGCCAGCGGTCTCTATACCAAGAGACAATGGAGTAACATCAAGGAGTAAAAGATCTTGAACTTCCTCAGATTTGTCTCCATGAAGAATGGCAGCTTGCACCGCCGCGCCATAGGCTACAGCCTCGTCGGGGTTGATGGACTTGTTGAGTTCCTTACCATTAAAGAAATCTTGTAAAAGTTTCTGAATTTTAGGGATACGGGTGGAACCACCAACGAGGACGATGTCATGTATTTGTGCTTTGTCCATCTTGGCATCACGCAAGGATTTTTCAACCGGTTCAAGAGTGCTCCTGAAGAGATCTGCACAGAGTTCTTCAAAACGCGCTCTCGTGATGGAAGTATAGAAGTCAATACCTTCATACAAGGAATCGATCTCGATACTTGCTTGGGTCGATGAAGAAAGGGTACGCTTCGCCCTTTCGCAAGCCGTGCGCAGACGACGTAATGAGCGCTTGTTCGCGGTAAGATCTTTCTTGTATTTGCGTTTAAACTCTTGTACGAAATGATTGACCATACGATTGTCAAAATCTTCACCGCCAAGATGAGTGTCTCCAGCCGTGGACTTGACCTCAAAGATGCCATCTTCGATCGTTAAAATGGAGACGTCGAAGGTGCCACCGCCAAGATCAAAAATAAGGACGTTACGCTCTCCCGATGCTTTTTTGTCCAAACCATAAGCAATGGCAGCAGCGGTGGGCTCGTTGATGATACGCAATACGTTCAAGCCCGAGATGGTACCAGCGTCCTTGGTTGCCTGACGCTGCGAGTCGTTGAAGTAAGCCGGAACAGTGATGACAGCATTGGTAACGTTCTTTCCTAAATATGCTTCTGCAGTTTCCTTCATCTTCACTAGAACCATGGAACTTACTTCTTCTGGGAAGAAAGTCTTCGTCTCTCCTTTGTATTGAACTTGAATTTTGGGTTTGCCGCCTTCATTTACGACGGTGAAGGGCCAGTGCTTCATGTCAGTCTGGACAATGGGATCCTCGAAACGACGCCCGATCAGTCTTTTAGCATCTAACAAAATTATACAAAAATAAGAACTCGTTCTATATCGGCTATAGTATATCAAATAAAAAACAACAATTTAAATAAAAAATAATTACTAATCGTAAGAAAAAAGAAGAAAAATTAATTAAAATGAAAAAAACTAAATGAAATCTATTAAATTAGACAGATACAGTATTAATAATAATGATGAGCGAAATTTTTAAAATAGGTCAAGTTATCTAAAAGCGACAGACAGAGATTGACGCAACTTACCAAAGATGGTATTGTTGGGATTCATGGCAACTTGGTTCTTAGCGGCATCTCCGATGAGACGCTCGGTATCGGTAAATGCAACATAACTGGGCGTAGTACGATTTCCTTGATCATTGGCGATGATTTCAACCTTTCCGTGTTGGAAAACTCCAACGCAAGAGTAGGTTGTGCCGAGATCGATACCAACTGCAGGTGCTTTGGCCATTTTAGTTTTCTCTTAGTTTCTGTAAGCATAAAGAAACCAAAATGTCGTTGAAGCCAAACCTTAAATTATTTCATTAGATAATTTGATATCATCATTTAACCGCACAACGATGCACCACAAATTTAACGAATAAGCAAACAATAGAAAGAAGAACCGATAGAGCACTAACAATAAAACGTACCTTTTCTTTGTTTCCGAATATGAAAAATGTTTCCTCAGAAGGATAGTGAATAACTTCTTCGCACGACGATTCGCAACGTGAGTGACAAATCCGCACCCTGTCGCTGTATATATCATTCGGCGAAGGATGCTTCTGGAATGTTCCTCCTGTTCGGCTAGTCAATGACCAATCAGGTTTGCGTTTATTCGAGGGAGTTGATATGATTCGTCGACCCTTCTACTACGTAACTCAACGAGGCAACCATAGAAAGGATTATTGACGATCGATTAACAATCTTTAAATATCATTTTTTCTTAACAACGATAACATACTCGACATTTAAAATATCATATCGTTGTAATTAAATTATTGAAATATAATCCGTACGTTTGGAGATCTTAATTTTTGGATTTTGTTAAATTCTAAAATGGAGAATGACGCAGAAGTAATGCGGAAGGAAAGTTGGAGAAAAATCTAGCGGTTATTGCTAGAAGCTACTACGCGGGCGCAAGCCGTTACGTATATGTAACTAACTTACACACACTATCACACTTATGGATCGTCGTCTCACCTTCGACCGTTTTTCAACCGTTTTTTCCGCCATTTTCATCGTTTATTTTACCACGTATTACTAAGAATTTGTATATCATTCGACTAACCTCTTTAACTATTTTATTTCAACTTTAATGATAATAAAGTCTACCATTTCATCAGATTTCGAAAGATTTTGTTATTGTTTTTCGATATGAATTTTTAAATAATATCACGGATATTGATTCAACTGCGACGGTTATAGGAATAAACCTTCGAAAATTAACTAGAAAAATACCGATGAGTCATTTAATGAGTACGATAAGGTCGTATCAAAGAATATAGAAAAAATCCTTTACACCTTTTCTTTTTTCTTATTTTATGCCTGATCATCATCGTTTCTAACTATATATACTATTCAAAAGTACTTTTGAGTAATTTTCTGAAACATGTACACACATACAGACATCAAACAATATTTAATTTTTCTAATCATTTATTGGAAAGATAAGTTTTTCTAATCATCTATTATTTGAATGTAATTCACGTGTTCGATAGAATCCGTATTCGATTATGACGCACATTAAAAGATACGTACGATGAAATTTATACATACATATATAGATATATATATATATATATATATATATATATAACGTGTATTCCTTGACTTAGATTTCTCGAAGAATTGTAATTTTAGTTTTCGTATAAGACCACGAGATACGTCAGCAAACTTACAAAGTAATTTGATACGATCGATTTAGAGTTTAATATCCAGTTAAAAGATATTCATTAAAAGAAGTAACAGATTTTATCTAAATGATTGTTCTGGAAAAATCCAGACTAAATTCGAAACTAACCTCATATCATACATACATACATACATATACATGACACAAGTATTAATCTAGTCTTCGCAACTCGACTAAAATTTCTGAATAATGATTATATAAACTAGATAAGACTGAAATTAAGATTTTTTCGAATCATCTATTACTCAATTTGTAAATTATCATTATTTCATACAAATAAATTTCACGATTCTTTGTAATACGAACGCACATAACCAATACAAAACGATATTCGTACGTTTTTCTATTAAATGAATATGCATTGCTATGGTTTCAATTGGAATATCATTCGTATAAGAATGTTTATAACATTTTATTGAAATATGGTTTTGAATTTACGTCGATAACGTCAAGAAATGTGTATACTATGTACACAAATATATGTTATGTATATCATTATGTATAAGTTATACGTGTATGTTAATCAAGGTCATGACCAACGTTTGAATGGATATACATTGCCAGCCATAAGGTTTCACAGCAAATATAGAAGAAATATGTAAAAAAAATAAATACAAATATCTAAAGAAAAATAAACGCCTCAAGATTTTATGGTTTCAACAAAAAATCATATAAAAAACATCATTAAAGAAGCAAGAAGGATATGTATAAATGCGAGGTAAAAAATATGATGTTTGAATAAAACATTTTTTATAATTAAAGCTTTTGTAAATGGATGGTAATGTATTAGCTATTAAGAAAACCAAATAAAAATTAATTATTAACATTCTTGTAAATTGAATATCATATTAATTGATGAATATTACAATAAACGTATTTTTATTATTTATAGAAAGTTTATACATAATATGTACATATAATTACTAATTACATGGTCATTCTGTTTTACCGATTGTTCTGACATGATTTGTTGTAGTAGTTCATAAAGAGTGAAATAAAGATGAGGGCGACACTTGACCTGTGTATTTTCGCTGTCAATCCAGTCGATTTAGTTTTTCTGTGTTGGGTGCGTCATATTTCAATTCAATAAATAATCGCGATTGTGTTATTTTTTTCTTATCGATAAGAAATTATTCGTATTAATAATACAAGGAGGAATATAATGAAATGAATAAAGGGTAAATAAAATTGTTTTGTTTATTTTGATCTAATTAAATAATGAGTCCTGTTTTGACATACTTATTTATCTTTCGACGTAAATCTGTGATACTCTTGTCAGTTTTGAGAATTAAAAAAGAATTGGTAGGTCTAGTAATAATTAATGTTGTTTTTTTTGTAGGTTATATTTTATAGATTATGACGGAAGACTGCATAAATGAGTGAAATAGAAACAACATTAATTATTACTAGATAGTTGATTAAATATTAAATGGAATTTATTATTAAAAAAACTACGTGTAAAGATGATGTCGATTCGTGGAAGAATAAAAAATGTCTTATTAAAGAGGCATTTAAATCGATGGACACAGATTCAGATGGTTATTTAAATTATTATGAAGCTAAAACAGCTATGAAAGCTTTGGGGTTAAGAATAAATAAATCTTTTGTTTTATCGACTATTCGCATGTACGATAAACGTGGTGATAGTAAAATTAGTTTTGATGATTTTTATTTCGTCGGTTTGTACGATTATATTCAATATATTATAGCTTTATTAACTAGTATAGAATCATAGTAATACATTAACTAATTTTATTCTAATTATTAGTATTTGAAAAGTTAAACAAACAAAATCCTATAGATCATCTTAAGTATGTGTTCAAGATTTTTACTGCAGAGTCTTTCATAGACAAAATTAGATTGGAAGATTTACAAAGAATTAATAATAAAATTGGTTCTAATCTGACCATCGATGAGATGCAGCTTATGATCAAAGAATTTGATAGGAATCAAGATGATTCTAGTAAATGCATTATGTTATGTCTTTCTTTTTTATAAAATCTATTGAAACAATTTATCGAGTTAAACACTCAGATATCTAAACACTGTTGCAAGTGTTCTGCATTATTGTTTTTCTCTTTGTAGTTGACGAAGCTGAATTCATTGAAATGATGACTGAGTCATAAAATTATTCCAAATTATTAGAAAATTGTATGAGAAATTATATTATTTATTTCATCGGTTAAAATGAATTCACAAATTGACTGGGATGCAGAACATCGTCGTACATTACTCGAAAGTAATGCTACTTTGGAACGTACAACGCAATCTTTAACAAGATCGCATATAGTCGCAACTGAAAATGAGCAAATAGGAACGGAAGTAATATCTGAATTAGAAGGACAAAGAGAACGTCTGTTGCGAGCAAAAAGAAGATTGTCTCAAACCGATGAAGAACTTAATAAAACACGGAGAATTTTGAATAGAATGAGAATAGGAGTGTTAACTAATAAGTTTGTATTAGTGTTGATCATACTATTGGAAATACTTATACTTGGTATAACTGTTTATTTAAAATTTTTTTATAAAAAATAAAATTTCAAAGGATTCTTCGTTTGAGAGAATATTGAAATTTATTGAATAGGCACGTATCTTTAATCATTTTATTTTGTTTTTAATGTAAATAAATTATGGTTTAAAATATTTTTTAAAAATAAATCGGAGGATTTTTTCAATGTTTGTCAGAATTTTCCAGTTCCATCTAACGTTGGAATTTAGAAGTATAGTCTCGATGGTAAGTTACCATCTTATCAATTTCTAGCATTGTACAGATTAGATCGAAAGTACGTAGAGAGATGGTGTTCGCGAATGCTCCAAAAACAAAGAGGGTGTGAATTTTCTCTTTGTATATTTTATATATTTACGGATTAATTGTAAGAATTACAAGTGACGGTTCGTCAATGTTATTCTATAGAGATGTATAAATAGATATGAGAAATTAACACTATCGATACTATTTAACATTCTATTTAAATCTTAGCTGTCAAGTAAGTTTAATTTTTTGTGATACAATATGCAGGACTAGTCAAAATTCATTTGATTTTTTCAGTGTTGCTTTTATAATGCATAAAGACACATGTTTATTATAATATGTAATGTCTTCACTGCAATAACAAATATGATTAAAATACAAATATAGTGACATGCATATATATGTATATATACATGTATATATATATATATAT